CACCGTGTGCCTACCTGCTGCAGTACCGCCAGGTCGACGCCTCTCGCAAGATCCAGTGTCCTTCCGAGGACCCCTCTTGGCTCGTCGACCTTGTGCACGCCGAGATGCAACGCGAAGAGATGGCGCAGGACGCTCGCCGCATCGTAGATGCGAAGCGAAAGATGGACCTCGCAAACACGATCCAGCTCAAAATCTTCTACGACACCGGCCACAGAAAGCTACTGCGTGTCTCGAAGCACGCTACGCTCGCCGACGTGACGGTTGAGGCCGTCGCGCGTTTTGAGCTGCGTATCGCGATGGACTGTGCCCGACTACGGGCCTACTCCGAGTCCATGGCGTTGCCGCGGGAGACGTACGACGGACGCGAACACTGCTCGCTGGTCGAGCTGTCGATCACCTCATCTTCGTGCATCTACCTTGAGACTCGAGCGAGTGCCGACATCGCGTGGGCAGTGTACGACCCCACCGAGCTGTCACTGCGCATTCGCCGCTACGTTTCATCAACGGCGATGACACCAGAGGCCTTTACAGAGCCGCCCGAGCTGGTGCAGCTGCCCGGTGACGCGCGACTCGTCGACTTGCTCTCGCTGCTCAGCGCCAAGCTCACAATGAACCGCAACCGAATGCGACTGCTGGCGATGCGCAATGTGGGCTCTTGGTCGATCACGACAACGGTTCTCAACGCGACGAATGACGTGACGACGCTGCAGACGCCACTGGACCGCATCTTATTTTTACTGTGGAATCGCTCCAGCATCTACGTCGAAGCCATCGACGATCTGGCGTCATCGCCGTCGCTTGCCAAGGAGCTCTTTGTAGCCCTCGCCCATATAATCACCCTTCAAGTCAAGACGACGGAGCCAACGCTCCTGCGCGCCAAGAACGTCGAAGGTGACGCGATGAAGCTGGTCGTTCACCGTCGATGCTCAAGGATCAACTCTGAACGTTTTTCGAGCTGCGACCCGAGACCTTCAAGCTGCGTCGCGCAAAGGAGATTGGCACCGAGTGCAAGGACTTGGACATGTCGGTTGAGAGCCTGGGCTTCCCGGACAACTGCGTATTGTGGGTCGAGCTTGGGACGCCGCTGCGTGCCGGCGAGTATCAAGTTCAAATCGTCCTCGCTGTGCCCAGGAGCACCAGTGGCACGGACGTGGCGAGGGTCGTGCTACCACCGCGTCGATGCCCGCACGACCTCGTGTCGTGCACACCGCTTCGTCTCGGAACACATAACTGTCTGCGAGATGAAGGCCACCATCCTCTCCGACCTTCAGCGCACGCACCCTAGCGCCAAGCACCTCCGAATCTGGGACCTTTGCCCCGACCGCCGCCTCCAGCGGGTCCTCTCCGATCGCAGCACGCTCGGCAAGACTTCACCGATATCACTGTACGAGAACCGGTCGCTTGCCGTCCAGATGCTAGCGTCGCCCAAGACGCTTGGCGCCACCCACACGCTTTCTCGGCCGTGCTCTTTGACCGAGCGCATCTTACATTTGGCCGCGAGATGGAGCTAGTGTTTCCGACGCTGTCGCCTGGCTCGCACTGGATGGACCTGCTTTTGCTCGAGATACAAAGTGTCTTTGGGATCCCACCATACGCAGTGCTTCTCGCCAAGCTGCCGCAGACGTTGGACGTCGATGTGACCGAGATGGCGCAGCTTTCGTGGATCGACCGCGACCACGGTCGTCGCATCGGCCGTATCTCGTCGCTGGCGGCGAGTGGCGATCGACTCGTCATCGCGGATGCCTGTGTGCCAAGCAAAGTGCTCTCAAGAAACGAGCTGCTCGATCTCCAACCACGCATTGACCTTGAGCTCGACACCGACAACACCTGCTTGGTCAACGCCAGCTGGTCGACCACCACCGTCGAGATGGCGTCGCTCGACGCGCGCCATGAGAGTCAGCAGACAAAGACATCGCTTGTCCTGCCATCGGCTCACAGAACGCCGGCGCCATGATAGAGCGTGCCTGCCTACTGTTTAAATGTGACGCATATACGTGTTATCTATCTATCTATC